TTATCCAATGCTTTCTGTAAGATAAAATAGAATTTCATAAATTGAATGGTCAAAAACACATGTCCATTGGCTACAATCTCATTTGGATATAACATTATCTGCATCTTCTAAACCTGGCCCTAGTACAGAGACGGTTTACCAATAACCATCAGGTTGGTCGAACAGTTCTGCCGTCTATTACTGTTTTAAATTAATGCGAATAGTTACAGAGTTATATGAGATTTCTTCTAATGCTCTGTAAATAACGCTATATCTTTTGAACGTGAAAAAATACGGGAATAGGCGCCAAAGCACTCCCTACACACTCTTTTGTAATTTTTGGCACAAATTTGGAAACCTCTGCTTGAGTTTTCTGTGTTATATCAAAACTTATTCGTTGCAACTCTTACGAAAGCGAGGTTGTCTTGCCTCACAATTATTACTCTATCTCTGGTCCCTGTACACCTCATACAGCATACAAATGATTTTACTTCATGGGCAATCATTCGCTCTGTCTATTGAAGCTCATAAGACAATATTAAGAACACCTACCAGCATCTGATTGATTTGATGAGAAGGAGGTGGGCTCTCGTAAACTGTTGGATCCAGTTGCATTCCTAAAATATGCATAATAATTGGTAACCAATGACTACTATGCAACTTCTGTTCCTGAAGTTTGCTCCTTTTGAAGAGAATGTACATATTAAAAGGTCAAACAAATAAATACATTAGTACAAAACAATTTGAATAAGGGGATTCGAGTTTTTCTTCTTGCTTCTTTACTGGGTTGTAGGCGAAAAAAAATTGCTTTACTTAGTGCATGGGTACGTCTTAAATGTTGAAGCTTGAATCTTCAACTTTTCTAAGTGAAGAATTAGTATTTTTTAAAATCAGATCAGTCAAAAACGAACAGAATTAAATGCGTTTGAATCTGTTTAGTAAATCGACTTCTGGGACTATATCCTTCAACATGAAGAGAAACAAAAATAGTGTAGATCCAATTACAAACGCGAAAACGTTGCAGATGAGATATCCTAAATCTACTAATGAACATGCATATTTGAACTTACTTATGAATTCCTTTCTTTCCAGGAAAACTTCCATTAGAGCTTGTCGATATTTGCTATTTGCGATCCCATAGCTGCAAAGATATATTTCATCAACAAATTTAAGTTTTCAACAACGGTTTACATCCGTTCATTGTTTTACTCGTTAATATGAATAGTTGAGGCTGTGCATTTTGAGTTCTTAAAGACGCTTCCCTCTTTTTGTCATTTTTTATTTTCAGTTAGCATGTATGTAGTTTCTCTCCTCAATATGTCTCTGTCATGCTAACAGTACAAAGCGTTATCTAATAACCATATAAAGTTTTCTACGCATTTATTGAACTCTGCGTAAGACTTCACTCGTCTCCCTTGCTACTTTAATGGCACAACTTTAGGTAAAAATGATCATTTGAGAATTCAAATGAGATGTATTTAACTTTACATAAAATACTTCCTTTTTTAACATTTAGCTTTTTGAGCGTCATGAAAGAAAATAATTGCAGGATGTCTTCAAGAAAGGTGACAAAACTTCAAGGGAAAAGTTATCTTCATTCAACTCACGACGTTGTTAATTTTTTTCTACTATAGGGATGCGGGTATACGGAGTAAATATACTATAGTCTAAAAGTCTGCTTTGCATATTTGAGTTGTGGACATCTACATAGTTTAGCTTGGAGAACATATGCCTAGTTATAATTTCTTGAAGCTTTCTCATGCGTTTGTGCTTTTGCAAAAAATTGATAACAGAAGAAGAACGGTATGGAGGTTTTTGTGTTATGAAACTGATTGCAATCTGAAATGAGTAGCGGGCTTAAACGGTAACGTAATTTTCAAGATTTCCTATATTTCCAACATACTTTGACTCATCCATACAAAACTGATCAATATAAGAAAACTTAGCTGCTAACAACTTTTGAGCAGGTAAACTACGGTGGGAACGATCTACACCTATAAAAAGAAGACTCACTAAACATTGCGGGCTTCACAAGCATCCATCTCTAGTGAATCGCTCAGCTTCATTAACAAAGCATCCATCTTTTCTAAGGATTGTAGGGCAGATTGAATCAGTAAACAAGCAAATTTAACAGTTGTACAACTGTAAAATTATAAATATTAACAAAGCCTTCTCCGAAATTTGTTCGAAAATCTAGTGGATTTGGTAGAAAATCATTGTAATATATGGATCTGAAACGTGTACAAAGAATAACCAGGATTTTTTTTTCGTAAAAGAACATAATGAAAGCATAAGAGGAAGCAGATCCGATTATCACGGCCAAATTGCCACATTGACAGTTGACCTCGGCTGAGCCTATCGTTTACTTTGTCAATAAACATGAGCTGGCGATTGAGTGAAGGTTGAATGTGACAACTAAGCAATCAATGGATCAAGT